TGACAGTGCGATCTCTGTGTGAGATATGTGATTGTTGTCATATTTCTATAAAAATCTAAAATACATGTTTGTATCAAAGTAAAAATGGATGATAAATACGCCTTTTGTATGGAATTAAATAGAAAGCACTTTGAGTGTCTCGTTCATATTTATTTTCATATAAAGCAACAGAACTGAAATTATATCATGTTTATCAGCAGCACAGCACATGAGTGAGAATAACGCGATATCCACCTTTGATCTCATAGGTAGCCTATCTGTTCCACTTCGAGAGGTCAGAACTGTCCGTCTTGACTGCACTTATTTCACTCCTCCCCTCAGTGCAACCGCCTACTCTCGCCTACATTTCAGGCGAGGCGCATCTCAAACAAGCCCAATCAGTGAAAATACATTCCCTTTCAAGGGAACTTTGAACTGCGTCCTCTAGGGGTCACTATGGGGAAACGCCTCGATGTGACCCGTGTCTGAAGCATACAATCAAAAAACACCAACAACATGTTGGCTGGCGACAGCCTATGACGTCACTACCGGTGCGACTGTAGTATAAATAGGCGCCGGGAGAACACGTCATCCTCTTCTTCGTCTTCAATGACTGTTTTGTTTGAAGCGTGCGGAATGCGTGGTAAGAGCGATCTTTCTTCCCTTATTATGGCGAGCACGAGCAAGACATTTAGGAATTTAGGAGATGTGTGGATCCGTGTCTTCGTTATTTGACACCTGATGACACACATGATCTTTGCTTCTTTTGTTTGGGTGAAGAGCACGCACGCGATGTCCTCGAGGGGGCAATAGGCTTGACTTGCCTTGGAAGCGGGCCAGGAAGGTGACGCTGCGAGGTCATCTCGCCGAGCGTTATCTGTCTGACCATAGCCCTCCAGCTCAGGTGAGCCTTCCTTTTCTTCCTGATCTCCATACAGAGGTCGAGAAGGAATGGAAGAGGCCTTTTTCCTCACGCATCCATCGGTTCCAGCATACGAGTTATGCCAACATCGAGGGGATTCGCGAAAGCGGCTATGAGAAGATGCCCCCTGTAGAAGAGACGCTGACTAACTATCTCTCTATGGGTGAGACATCCTCTCTTAAGACTCCATCCATGCTATCTAAGCCCCTTCAAGATACACCTCTCTTAAATGGCAAAGCATACGCAGCAGCAGGTCAGGCTGTCGCTTCGTTGCACACGATGGCGGTGCTTCAGGAGTATCAGGCTGATCTACTGAAAGACCTGGATAAAGGGCAGGGCCTTTCTCCTGATGAGGTAGCTGAGTTGCGCCACACCACAGATCTTGCTCTCCGTGCTACTAAGCAGGCCGCCTTTGCTATGGGCAGATCTATGGCGGCCATGGTGGTAACGGAGAGACATCTGTGGGTGAACCTGGCAGATATCGGGAAGAAAGAGAGGGGCTTTCTTCTCGATGCTCCGGTTTCGCCTTCCGAACTTTTTGGTACCTCCGTCGAGACGGTGGTTGAGAAGTTCAGGGAGGTGAAGGCGTGCTCAGCGGCCTTCAAAACCTTCATTCCACGAAGCCCAAACAACCCAGGGGTCCTGGCCCGTCTCAGTGTGAGGATCAGAGATGGGCACAGAAGGCTAGTGTCGCGGCTCGCGCTCCTCCCCCACCTGCGGGTAGGGCTATGAGGAATCGCGGGTCAAAGGGAGGTAGGCAAGACCTGAGGGAGGTGACCAGAGTGATACCTGAACATCTACTCTTCTCCCTCGGGGGGTTTAACATCTGCCCTCATCTTCCCCTTCCTAATTCCCCTGTAACCACCATCATCTCCACCTGACCGAGGTTAGGTAGGAACCTCCTGCACCTGCATTGCAGTCTCCTAGGCTGGACCTATGATGTTTTCAGTTGGTTCTGTGTCTCACATAGTAACCACCTTACTGATGGTCCGGACTAGAGGCTTCTTCGGGCTTCGCTTCTTGAACAGGGCTCCTGCGCGGGAACCATGGTTGGTCCTCGGTGAGCACCCCCTCTGCTGGACTCAGAACCGGGTTCTCGACTTGCAGTGATGACCTCACTCGTCGATGCTGTATCCAGTCTGTATGATAACCCTTTTTCCAGCTTCATGCTGCCTGGATCATGTGGCCAGATCACAGGCTTCTGCGGGAGCCTTCTTGGTCGTTAGGTCCCTGGTGCAGCACTGCGATCCTCCTGGACATCCGGGCTGGGCTTATGCTTTTCAGGCTGCCCTGACTGATACGCCAATTCCCCCGGAGCCGTGTGATGTGCATTTTAATATGGATGTTTGCACTTTATTTGACTACTTTTGGACTGTTGAACAAAAACACCCGCCCATGCCATTATAAAGCTTAAAAGAGCCAGGACTAATTTTCATTTTTGGGTGAACTAACCCTTTAACAGATACAACTTTACATTTTAATTAATGTAATAGTAAATTTTGAACTTAATATTAACTAAGATTTATTAATATTAACATAATGTTAGTTAATTATTTAATGTTAACAAATGAAACTATTGTAAGGGTTAACAAAGTTTTATATATTGTTCTGTGTGTGTGTGTGTGTGTGTGTGTGTTTGTGTGTGTGTGTGTGTGTGTGTGTTACACTCTTCATGTTAAAGTGTAACCCTTTCCTTGCTGTAACCCTTAAAACCAGACTGTCAGAGGGATGCTGTAAATGTATGTGCCCGCTGTGCACCATTTTCCTGATGCCGGTGTTGTGCCCATTTTCGACTCCCTGCCAAATTATTACCCCCCTCGTTGAAATCGCTACCTGATTGCCTAATCCTAACCCCTCCCTCACACCTAACCCTAAACCTACCAATACTAGGGGGGAAATAATCTGGCGGGGGTCAGAATTCAGCACAACACTGGGGTGGCATTTTCACTGATGGCTTGAAGCTATATTTTTTATATTAGCCTATATATTAAATGTGATCTGAACGAGATAAAGCATGATCCATGACTATTATGCGATTACATATAAATTAATGCTGAAGTAAAGATCGAATGTCTAACGAATATCCAACATAAAACCAACTTTACCGCACCCTTGTTGTTTGGTTTCCCATTCTTAATCGGAACGGTTGATTCCCTCTTTTATTTGTGTGGCCTCCATGGCATACTTCGTGGAGTGTTACATTTGTATGAAATTAACAAAAACTTACAATCTGTTTAGGACAATTACAAAGTATTCAGATCACTGTGTTAACTGTTTTGAGAACAGTGACCTGAGTTTGGAGAAATGTGTCAGATCGATTGAGAAAAACTGTAATAGGTCAAAATCTGTTTAGTCATTTATAGATCTGACTCATTTTTGACCTAATCATGTGAGTGGCTGGTTTCTGTTAGTCATGTACGAATGACATTTGTCTAAGTGAGTAATCCTTAAATAGACATCTCCAATTCTTGTTATAAAACTCTCACTTCCTATGTTTCATACACCAGACTACATGGGTGTTCAGGTTGAATTAAATTATTATTATTATTATTATTTCTTTTTTTCAGATATTACAGTATTTTCACAGAGGGTGCATTCAAAAGTTTTTATGTTCTCAAAATTAGATGTAGGAGTTTTAGGGTAAAAAAAGAATATTATAAAAAAATATATTTGTTTTCTTAAAAACTAAAGATGCTCTAACTGTTTATTGTATACTGTCCATGCTCATGCTTTCAATTTTGCATTAGACATTTCATTGTCAGTATGGACCAGTAGTTATGTTTCACTGAATAGATCCTGAGTCATGTTCTAAAATACTAACATTCATTAATTCCACTACAGTATATAATAAATATACCCTTTCAATTTCATCTAAAAACAAAGTAGCACAAAATAGAACTTGAACAATCTAATATAAGAGGGCAGGATTATTTCTGCAGTATGTTATATATTCAGACGAATACCATGAATATGCCTGATTTGCATAGAAGTATACTTAGACTTTGCTATTCAAAGTATTCTGTATTCTAAAATTACACATTGCAATTGTGTATTGATAGTGTATGGATATGTCCTGCAGGCACACCAGAGAGGAACACCGTGTGTGAGAAGTGTTCCCCGGGTTATTTCTCCAGCACATCTTCATCCACTGAGCCATGCATACCCCACAGGAACTGCACTCAACTAGGCCTGAAGACTGTAAGACCAGGTACAGCCACCCAGGATACTCTGTGTGACACTGAGAATAAAGAGTTCAACTTTAACTGCTCCCATCAGCACACAGAATGTCACACCGGTAAGCAATATTCTAGCCTTTGTTTTATTCACTGAAAATGTTGTTTGCTTAGAAGAAAATTGCTGGCAATTTTGGTAAATAATGGACTTAATATGTCTAATTTGTCACAGGAATAGCTGTGATAGATTTAGGTACACTGCTAGGAATTGGCCCTGTTGGGCCCTGTGACTGTGTATTGCTCTGGGCCCCTTGCACCTCTTACAGTTCTCTGTTAGACCAGACAGAGGGTCATACAATCTCTGTCAAACCAAGGGGTTGGGGCTTACTGAAATGTTCTCCAACACCCTGCAGAACCCTCTCTCTGTTCTGGACTCATATTCTAACAATCCCCCACCTTGGCCAACTGCTTTCTAGATAGAGACCACATGGAGAAAAAGATCATGAGCTATACATTTAACAGGATTTTGCCATGAACCCACACAAAACTGAAAAATACAAAAAGGGTATCCCAAAAGGAGAAGAATTACAAGTTATTTGAAATCATTGGTGATACCTTTGTTTTGGTATTGGAGAAGATATTCAGGATTTTTTGTTTGTTTGTTTGTTTTTTGTAAAGTTTTAGAGGGTACACAATCAAGTCAGAAACTAAAACCAAGACTACCTATGCTTGTACCATACCCTCAAATGCCCTTAGATGTGTATTATACATTTGTTTATTATTACAAATTTTAACAGGAAAAAAGGCAATGTCCTGCGTCAGTGGTCATTGTTTCCAAGATCACCAAGAGACTGAAGTGGATGTTGGTCAATAAAAATACATCAGGAATTATAATACAACCTGTTAAAACCTGTTCTACTACAGTGTAACAAAAAGTGTAACAAATTGCATTTTTACAGTTTTTAATGTCCTTTGTAATATATTCACAGATCTCTATGTACTAATCAACATACTGTATATAGACCATTTAAAAGGGTGTTTTCAAATGTTTAGGCCTATGTTAATGCATTTTTAATTGACATAATAGAAATAGTTGTCAATAGAAATTTATTGATTTCCTTCTGTTTTCATATGAGTGCATTGATAATAATTTAACCAAGCTGCTATAATGATTATGCAAGGAATTATACATTTAGTATAACAATAATTTTTGGTTTGATTGTGTTTGTAAAGTACAATATAGTTACATGTTTGAAAGACGATAACCAAACATAATGAATTATTATTACAATGTTGCCAGTTAAGTTAACCACAGCTGACTACCATATACATACATGGCCAAAAGTATGTGGACACTCAAACTTTTGCCTCAAACATATTGACATCACACTACAGTAGTAATTAAATTTAGAATTAAGACAGAAACTAGAAGCACACAAAGGCAATATTTCATTCATAACATGAAGTATAATTAATATAATAAACAGTGATATGTCATAAATGCAACATTAAATAATGAAGCTCTATAATGTAAATAGTGATATTTACAATAGTAAAAAATAGTCAATACACAACACATCCTCAGGTTGCTTTAAATACATTAGACCAAAGGTTTCCCCTGAGGAGGCAAGGGAGGCAGTGCCTCCTCAAAAAAATGAAATGAGAAAATAATCCATAGTAGCCAGTGCTCCAGACAGAGATCTGATCTCATCATCATTCAGTCTGTCTGGAATGACATGAAGAAACAGAACAAACTGAGACAGACTAAATCCAGAAGAACTGTGGCAACGTCTCCAAGATGCTTCAAGAAACCTACCTGCAAAGCTACAGTACTGTTAAAAGTTTTAGGCCATTGGTCTCAAACTCAATTCCTGGAGGGCCACAGCTCTACACAGTTTAGCTCCAAACCGAATCAAACACACCTGATCCAGTTAATAAAGGTCTTCAGGATTACTAGAAACTTCCAGGTGGGATTTGGAGCTGCTTGGAGCTAAACTCTGCAGAGCTGTGGCCCTCCAGGAATTGAGTTTGAGACCACTGTTTTAGGCACTTGTGTAAAAATGCTGTAAAATGAGGATGCTGTCAAAAATGATGTCATAAAAAGATTTTCTTTCATCAATTAACTTCTATTAACTAAATTAAATCAACATTTGGTGTGACCATGCCCTAGGTGCCTTTGCGCATTTAGGTCTCTTTAATGGGGTCATCGGATGCGACATGCACTTTTACAAGCTGTTTGAACTTAAATGTGTGTTGGCAGTGTGTGTACACAACCACCCTATAATGATAAAGATCCACCCAGTGTTTTTTTTTATCTCATTTAATAATTTCCCTTTTCTCAAATCGAGCCGATCTCAGATGCCTGTCTGTGTGATGTCACAGAGACAGGCCCCTCCCACGATAGTTTGATTGACAGTAGCATTTCAGCACAGACT